TTGTAACAGGGCAGCCAGGTATTTAAAAATGCAGCAAATAAGCCAGGTGTGGTGGCACACCCCTTTAATCACAGCACATGGGAGGCAGAGGCAAGCAGGTCTCTGTGAGATGGAAGCCAGCCTTGTTTACATAGCGAGTTCTAGGCCAGCTGGAGCTACAGGGAGACCCTGTCTCAAAAGGACCAAATAAAAAATAAAAAATAAAAAAATGCAGTAAATGCAAAAGAGAGGGGGTGTCTGGGCATGATGGCTCATGTCTATAATTCCATCACTTTGGAAGCTGAGGCAGGAGGCTTGCCATGAGTTCAACGCTAGCCTGGGGTATAGAGTGAGACCCTACTCAATGCAGTGATGTAGAGGAATAAAATATAGTAGCAACTGACAGAGCAAGAGAAAAAGAGCTTCCTGGTTTCAGTTCGTCTTTAGGTCAGACTGAATTCCCTGTCTCTTGGAGCCACTCCTGTGTGCTGACAGCAGTTTTCCTTTAATCCGGAGGCTGAGAATTAAATTCAGTGTGTCACTGAAGACCTTTCCCAGTCGTGATAAGCAAATAACATCTCTGTAAGAGGATGAAGATGCGATGTGCTCGGTTCCTTTCGTGGAAAGATGTGCATCCAGCTCTTCACATGGTAGAATCAACTACCAAGGGTGGAGAGAGACCATGTCTTCATTCTACCCCTATGGAAATTATTTTCTGATCCATCAGAAAGATCTGTTATTCCTAGATCTTGCTTGCTAAAGGTTCTGTTTTGTTTTTCCTTTTGAACAGGGTCTTGCTATATAGCCTAGGCTGCTCTAGAACTCACATCCCCTTGTTTCTGCCTCTGGAGTGCAGGGATTGCAGGCATGTAATCCCACACAAACTTTGCTGCAGTATTAAGGTGCAGGTTCCATGTGACCAGCAAGGTTCATGAAGCTTACCTCTGGACCATGGAGTTAAAGGTGAGAGAGATCCATAAAGCTTCTGTCCTGTGATGGGGGCCATGACCACAGCCTGAAGCTCAGGTTCATACTCAAGGCCAGTCTCTTCTTTAATGCCAGCCAGGGAAACTCAGGGCCTCAGGTCAGTGGGGCAACCTGGCTGTTCATTGTGGATGGATACTGTAACTCTGCAGGAAGAACAGGCTACTCTTTGGTGGAACCTGGTGCATGCCTTTAATCCCAACACTCCAAAGGCAGAGGTAGGCAGATCTCTGTAAGTTTGAGGCCAGCCTGGTCACATAGTGATTCTAGGCCAGTCAGGGCTACATAGTAAGGCCTTGTCTCAAAAACAAACAAACAAACAAACAAAACAAAACATTACTTTTTAAAAAGGAAGACTGAGTGAGATTCCTGTAGGTGGGAAAAAGTCTATGAGGTTGACAGCAGCGTGGCAGGGACCAGGGGAGCCTCTTCGAATTTCTTGGATGCCGTCCTCAGCAATGCCTTCATTCCTTTGAAGTAAGTTATTATAAAAAAAAAAAAATTCAGGGGCTGGAGAGATAGTTCAGTGTGTAAAAGTGCTTACCCCCAAGACAGACAACCTGAGTTCAATTCCCAGGATTCACATGACAGAAGGAAAGGGCTGACTCCTGAAAGTTGTCTTTCTGACACTTGCATGCCTCCACATGCATGTTGTGGCATGCTAATGGCTATACACACACACACACACACACACACACACACACAAGAAATAAATGTTAAAAAAAATTTGGACTTACAAGATGCTTCAGCAGTAAAGGCACTTGCCACCAAGCCTGAGGACTTGAGTTCAATTCCCAGAATCCACATGGTGGAAGGAGAGAACTGACCCCTGCAAGTTGTCCTCTGACCTCCACATGCATATAGAGGTATGTATCCACCCTCACAAATAAATAAATGTAAAACTTAAAAAAAATTCAAACTTGGGCCTGGAGCGATGACTCAGCAGTTAAGAGCATATACTATTCTTCCAGGGGGCCTGGGTTTGTTTCCTAGCACCCACATGGCAGCTGACAGCCATCTGTAGCTCCAGTTCCAGAGAATCCAATGCCCTCTTCTGGCTTATGTGGGCACTGCGTGTATATGATGCACAGACATAGATGTAGGCAAAGCACTCATACACAGAAAATATAGAGGGCTGGAGAGATGATTCAGCAGTTATGAGTGCTTCTTGCTCTTCCAGAGACCTGAGCTCGTTTTTAGCACACACATCACATTGGTCCACTCACAACTGCCTGTAACTCCAGCTCCAGGGGACCCTCTTCTGGCCTCCCTAGGTACCCCCAACATGTTCACATACCCACCCACATACATGCATAATTTAAAAATAAGCTGCGTATCTGGGCATGGTAGCACACACCTTTAATCCCAGCACTCGGGAGGCAGAGACAGGTGCATCTCTATGAGTTTAAGGCCAGCTTGGTCTATACAGGGAGTTCCAGACTAGTCAAGGCTACATAGTTAGATCCTGTCTCAAAAAACAAAAAAACAAACAAACAAAAAACCTGCCAAAACAATAATAAAATTAAATCTTTTTATTTTATTTTTTATTTTTTATTTTTTGGTCTTTTTGAGACAGTAGCCCCAGCTGGCCTGAAACTTGCTATGTAGACCAGGCTGGCCTTGATCTCAGAGATCTGCCTGACTCTGCCTCCAGAGCATTGTCCATAGAGCTGCAGGCTTCTATATATTTACTTTATATCTGGCAACTTTATACAATCTTTTCATTAATTCTTTGACTCTGTGTGTGTATGTGTTTATGCAAATGACACGGCACATGTGTGGAGGCCACCATATATGTTCTAGAGATTGAATTCAGGTTGTCAGGCTTGGCAGCAAGCCCCCTTACTCACTGAGCAATCTTGCCAGCCCTCATTCTTTCATTGCTATCTATCTATCTATCTATCTATCTATCTATCTATCTATCTATATCTATATCTATCTCTATCTCTCTCTATATATATAATTTTTTTTTTGGTACTAAGCATCTGTCTTAGTTTATTTCTTCATTGCTGTGACAAAACACTCTGACCACTACCAACTTGTGGAGGAAAGGCTTTATTCAGCTTACATCTCCCAGGTTGCAATTCATCAAGGAGCCCAAGGTAGGAACTCGGGGCAGGAACCTGGAAGCAGGACCTGGAGCACAGGCCATGGAGGAACACTGCTTACTGACTTGCTCCCCTGGCCCCTGCTCAGTCTGCTTTCTTA